AATTCATTTGTAAGAATGGAGGTTTTGAAGTCAGTGTAAAGACTTTTCACCAGTGATTTGATATGATCGGGAATGTGGTGGTAATCAAGAGCGGTTTGAATCAAGTTGTGATGAACTTCACCAAAGGCGTTTTTAAGGTCCTGGGTCCAAAAGAGTAATGACGAGTGAGCGGTGTTTCGTACCTAGCTTTGCATGTTAATGATATCAGCCATTTGAGCAGTGTGCTCAAAAGTTCCAGAAAGACCTTGTGTAAAGCCTTTTTGAATTTCCTGTTCAATGTAGTTGTTAGCGGAGAGGAAGTTGAAAATGGCATTACGAAGACACGAGGTAAAAACCTTTAAAGGCACAGATTGTAAAGTAACAGGACGGAAGTTAGCAGGGTCATTAGCGTTTTCCTTGTTATAGATGAGGATTGTGCAGGCTCGCTTCCATTTGTTTGGGAAGGATCCAGCTGACCAAGCTGTGCGTATAATTTCAGATAAATAGGTGCGAAGAAAAGGACATCTTTTGAAACAAATTATGGACAGTTAATCTAGGGGACAAGGAGAACCAGACGCCTTCATTTTTCTAATCACATTTGAGATCTAATAATAATAATAATAATAATAATAATAATAATAATAATAATAATAATAATAATAATAATAATAATAACATATTTAACCAGGGTAAACCCGTCAGTTAAAGCTATTATAAACTGAGTTCCCTGGGTAACTAAAATAACAATAAGTTAAAGGGAAAAAAAATATTAATAACAGATCAACTATCAGAAAATGTAAAACTATGTACAATGTCGATGGATAAAAACTACGAATCATATAACTACGTAAATTTAGACTCTAAAAAACTCTAAAAGATTTACCAGAACTCTAAAAACTAATGTCATAACGAAGCTGTGTATTATAAAATCACTATGGAGTCAACTACCTTTAAATGCAATGGCAAGTTATTGAAAGCCTGCCGTTGGCTCCAGCATAAAATGTTCCTTTCTTTGCAGATTCTGTAGGGACTTAGGAATTGAAACATCTAAACCAGTACGCCTAGAAGAATAAATATGTGAATAATTGATAAAGTAACTCTTAAAAAGATAGAGAGCAATGTTATGGAGACACTTAAAGACAAAAGTTAAATTGAGAATAGTAGAACGCGCCTCAAAGGTCAAATGAACCAAAATTTGGACATTCTTTTTATTCCAGTTCAATTTTAGTGAAATGTGTTCAGTCTGTTCAATATGAACTTGTACAGGTGAATAATTGTTTTAGTATATACAGTATGTTGCCCAGTATCCGGACGCCGACCCTAATTGTATTGGATAACGCTAAGACATTCCAAGCGACGGAAAAGGCGCTCATCAATCTCTTTAAACACCCAGAGGTAGCATGCGAATTAGACAGGAAAAGAATAGAATGGCGACTTAATTTAGAAAGGGCACCCTGGTGGGGAGGGTTTTTTGCGAGAATGGTGGGAAGTGTGAAAGCGTGTCTTAGGAAGGTGTTGGGTAATGCGAGATTAAGTTTTGACGAGTTGTTAATTGTACTAGTCGAGGTAGAGGGGACCTTAAATTCGCGACCTCTTACTTATGAGTACAGTGAGGCGGGCTATGAAGTTTTAACACCCATTTATGGGAGGAGAATCCAGTCATTGCCAGATGAGATAGCTGAGGAACCGGAGGAGAACAAGAGTGGCTGTTACGAGAGATTTAGATACTTAACCGAGAAGCTAGCTCATTTTTGGGAGAAGTGGAGAAATGAGTATCTAGTGAATCTTAGAGAGTTTCACCGGACGAAATCAGGTCGCGTAGTTAAGCGAGTTCAAGTTGGGTACGTAGTAACAGTTTTTGAAGAGAACAAGAAAAGGGGAGAGTGGAAATTAGCAGCGGTAGAGAATCTTATCACAGGAAAGGATAGGATCGTTAGGGGCGCAAACGTGAGAGTTATTGCCAAAGGTAAACCTGTGCGAATGGCCAGACCGGTTCAAAAGCTGTACCCCATAGAAGTCCGGAGCGCAATAGAAGGGAGGGATCAAGCTAGGATTAGGCCAGTAAGGGATCGTGCTACGACCGAAAGGCGTAACCCTAGTAGATCAGCTGCTTTAGTCTTGAGATGGAAAGTTAAAGCTTGACTCGTAGGCGAGTTAAGGGGCGGGGGGAGGGGGGAGAGTGTCGGGTGTCGGAAAAGAAATCCGATAAGCGTCATTTGATTACTGTTAACTTTATGAACATTAATTAGAAACATATGACTACATCACAACATGAACTTTGTAACGAATAAGAATAGTCTCGATATTTCACAATTTGTGACCAGAGTTCTTAGTGAATTTACTGAACCAAATAAGGACAAAGAACGTGTTATCTTGCAATAATAGGTTAATTTAGGTGCATTACAATATTGTGAGCTCGGAAAATTACTGTACACGTGAATACTGGAAAATTACTGTCTCGTGTGGTAGAAAAACTTCTGTAAACGTAGGATTGGGTGTGAGTTCGCCGCCGGTCTCTGATCGTTGAACGTGATTGTATTAGATTGTTGGATCTAGATTGTAATAAACCGTTTGTATTCGAAAAGTATACAGTCCTCTTGATTGTGAAGTGTACCAGCGTACGGGGTCGTAAGAAATCCCCGACAAGGCTTGCAGAATCAATGATGAACGTCTCTGTATCTAACAAACACTATACCACATGGAAAATGCTTTGCACGGTATTTCCGAGATCGCTGTTTTTGTATCAGAAATCTCACTCTTTCGACACCATACGCCCGCACTTTCCACGAAGTATGCATGACCTATGTAGTAGGCGCATGGAAGTAGTATGAGGTACGAGAGGGGAACACATGCAGGCGAGGGGAGGGGGAACTAACCTCCCACAGCGATGGTTCAGTTCTGTGCCATAATTTCTGCTCCTTTCCACCTCCGGGCTCACTTCTGAGTCTCACACCTTAATTGTCTGGCTCTTTTGGGAGTAAGGGTTTCAAAGGATGCTTCACCTGGGCCCAATATAATATACCATGCAGCCCCACCCCACACAATCCTCTCTCCTCCCCCATTAACTTTTTTGTGACGTGCTCAAGTTTACCGGGAGAAAAGTTTCAGGAAGGCCAATATATGTGCTCTGTTATAACATGACATAGCAGAAACTAAGAGAGGATTAGACAGGCCCCCAATTCTCTCTTATAAAGGTCGGTAACCGAGTAGTCAGATGATCTTACGAGTCATAATCGGTTAAAGTGTACAATACAAAAGAAAACGTGGAGACAAAAAATCAAGACTAAAGCAAAAATTGGGAAACGTGCCATACCTTTGTTGGTAAACATGCAATTCGTGCAGTGCGGGTGGCTTTGATGTCATTAGGGATGACCTTCTCTTTTACTCCTGAAGTTCAGATTACGAAAAATTATTGTAAAAACACAATGAAATACACTGGGGTTACATTGGGAAGTATAATATCGTGCTAACAAAAGGTCATATTAGTATTTTCGAAAAGAAAAATGAACCAGAGCGTACTGATAAAGATTGAATCATTAATCACGCAAGCGTCGTTCTAAGAAGTTTACCACGAATCGAGATTCGCGTAAGAGAAAATGGTCAGTTCAAATTGCTGCTAGAATAACAGCGTGGACTTCATACTGAGAAAGATTGAATCATTAATCACGCAAGCGTCGTTAGCAGCAATTTCAACTGACCATTTTCTCTTAGAATAACAGCGAGAACTTCAATTCATTCAAATTATGACATTGCCCCCACCCAAGGGTGGTGAAATATATTTGGTCGTTTAGACCGATTATTATTATTTTCTTTTATCAGAAAAAATGACTAAAAGCATGCCGTGAGCAAATCCTGCGTTGAGAGCGCTGGGTAGATGAAGTTGGGAGGGAATAGGGGGTAGCTAGGCAAGTTAAAGTCACCTTTTTAGTGTTGGAACCGCCACTTGTGCGATCTAATCTCGCCATTAGCACTCAGCTTTGGACATTGGACAGACCTTCAAGGATTTTTTTGTTAGGTATCACTTTCAAAAGGGATGAATTTGAAGAATTCGAATGGTCTAGCATTTTCATCCAAATTGAAACTGTTCAGTTTTGGAGAAACAACTTTCTTTAGTAGCTTCCTACTTCTTTGTTGGTCTAAATCAGACATCACAAATATCAAACCCTACTTAAAAGTTTAAAACTTTGGGAAGCTTAAATCGTTGAAAGGATTGAACGCTATAATCTTCTCTTAGCTTTCAACGCTTACACACAGAGAAACAAAGGGAAAAGAACTGACAAGTGCATCACATAGAGGTATTAAAATTCTTATTAACAATCACTTTTATAGAGCTGTGGGATGGCAGCGGTGAAACTTATTTTTACTTCTTCTTGATCGAGCAAAATTTTCTGTGCGCATTTTGAGAAAAGGGAATAAACCGTCAATGACCTTTGCAATATCACACACAAAAGAAGATGCGAAACTCTTGACACTTCACTACCAAAGCAAAATAGTACATCACGGGAACGTTGCATCAAAGCGAAAAGTTACAGTGAAACATTTAATATGCAGTTGGAGAAGTTGTCTATAGAGGAAAAGGGGAAGGTAAAGGAATAAGGTAAGTATATGCAAAAATTCCCGTTATTTGTTTGGGACAGGTACTTAGTATGATGTATAAGTGAAGGGAAGATGTTTATTCAAAGCGTCAGGATTAAACCACTAAGGGGCAAAACAGTGAGAGGGGGAGAAATACTTGGAGAGAAAAGGGACCTGAGGGAGTTCACGTAAGTTCTACCTTCTTTCTTTCTTTGGTCATTTTTCTGTGAAATCAGAATGATTTACTGCAATACTTAGGCCAATTCCCTGAAGAGTGTTTCCCCCCTTTACTCGACCTTAACTTCAGAACTTTGATAAATTTTGTCCATTTTTGGTAATTTGGTGCTTTACTGGTCCATCATCTGTCCACGCAACAGAAATGATGCCTTCACGTAAAGACAATCTGTATATTATTCGCGTAAGAGGAAGCATTTCCTCAGTTAAGTCAAGATGGTGGGAGAGCAACATCTTCCGTTTGTCCTCTACGCGGTATCCATTGCTGTGCTTCTTGCTCAAGGAAGTCAAGGTACTATGAAGTATTTGCTTATTGAAATGTTTTAAGAATATGCTTTTGAATGCTGATATTTGATGGTCATTTTCTACGGTAAAATTCATGAAAGATTCATTTCAAGAAAGAACGCAGGAATCGGGGGTGGGGCGCGCAAGGAAAGCGCAAGTTAGGGAACTATGTTCAAGGCCATTGCGCTCAAGGCGTTTTGAAATTATTAAAGAAATATTGCAGCCACCGTAAATAGCCAAGAGGCATCGGGAGCTTACTTTTACTAAGACACTTTTCTTCTCTTATAGCAATCAGTTTCAAAGCTGGAAAAATCAACATCACTGTCAAAAGTCCAGGGTTGTTCGCTTGTGAGACAATCAGATTCGCTGAATCGTTCTCTGGTGGAAAGCAAGTAAAAGTGTTTGCTGCGTTTGGTCACTCAGTTAACAACCAGGCCCGTGGTAATGGTGCTTCTATTTGGGTGGAATCGGAAGATAGAACTCAATTCCGCGCTTGTATCTACGAGTACAGCAACGGGTCAAATTCAGCTGCTGAGATAAACTGGCTTGCCCTACAATCTGCTCCCAAAGGAGCACAACTAGGAACCACTTCCTTGGACTCTTGGACTACCGGAACAGAATGTAAGAAGATCGTCTTTCCTCAGGTAAGTTCAATTATGCTATGATTACCTACAAAGTGCCTATGCGGAATTAATCTAAAAAAGGCAGAAACTGGTCAGTCATGTAAAGTATAGTTGAAAGATGTAACTCAAGGCCGCAAATGCGATTCTTGTTAAGGAACTTAACCAGCTGTTCAATCAATAAATTGACGTCACTTAAGTTTCAAGTTCAATTACCTATAGTACAATGTACGTGCTATTATGCACAGACTTCATGATTTAACAGGAAATGACGATAAAAGTCTAAAAGGTGAATCGTTGGTTTGTTTTAATTTTAGAACGATTAATTCAATGAAACAGCTTACTTTGTACTATGATCTTTTTGTTGCGCGGCTCTCCCTCTTTTGTTTTCCTGTGTTTTGTTTGGATGTTTTTTTGTTTTGTTTTGTTTTTTTTTTTTGAAACGTGCAGTATTATAACTAAGACAGATGTCCACTCCATTACCCACACTATCCCACTCATATTATCACCT